GAGATGAAGGTCAAGCTCACAACCAAGGGTCCACAAGGAATCTACTCTAACCAACAGGTAGATATGAGCAGTTGGAGGAAATGAAATTCAAGGAAAGCTGCTCTGAAATGCCCCAAACCTCCAAATGGAAAACCATCACCTTAGCATATCAACCATAACAACAAAGTCATCAAGTGGAACTTCAATAAATTACTTGTACTAATCTCAAAACAATAAATTACTTGTACTAACCTCAAAACAAACCAACTAAAGACATTGAAAATAGACTGCAAACTTCAAAAATATAAAAAAACCTGGCCAAAACAATGAATGGGTCACAAAATCATCCAGTGGAAAATATATGTGCCAGACTCCACAAATCCCCTCCCACTTCCATCATATTTGACGTACGAGTGTCAAGCAACTTGGTTCCTAGGAACCGACAGCCAGACACATATGATTTGATTATAGTGGTAAAGGCTTTGTGTAGAACCAACCACACTTTTTGAAGATCCAAATACAGAGACCTTGTGCATGCATGCCACAAGGTCTCCAAACGACCCTCCACAGGTTTTGAATTCAGAGTAGTCCTTCTCCTAGACTAGTTGCCATCCAAGGCTATAGAACCCAGTCTGTGCTGCTATTTACCCATAGCTGGGTTGGGGAGAAGAGGATTCATACCTTTCCCAAGAGTATTAGCACATAATTGAATGTCATGGATTTGACTGGAATTTAAACTCTGCTCTTTGATTCCTCAATCAGGGTCTCTGTCCATTACTCCACCGTGCCTCCATATATGTCCTGGTGTGTGTAAAATATATGGGTTGTCAGATACTCATACCTTAAAATAGACAGGAGAGTCAATTATATACCACTGCAAGATCTGATAAACAATCATGAACTCCAAACAGTTCTAGATCAACTCTCTGAATCTCTTGTCCTATTAAGGGATTTCAATAGCCATGGACTAAAAAAAGAGGTAAAAAAAACCAAGGAAAGTATAAACAACAACCATTTATGCCTCTTAAGTAACAAATCATAAAATTATTTCAATCCTACCATTGGATCACAATCTGCAATGGATCTGGGCATATGTCACCCAACAATCTATATGGATTATATATGGGAGACATAAGAACACTTGTGGTGGCAACCACTTCCCAATAATACTTGAAAAGCCAGGACCTCACTCACTGGAAACTAAGTAAACTGGGAAAATTCCAGGAAAGAATGCAAGAAAAGTTTACCACAAAACTGTTACAGAATGCGAAGGCAAAGGCTAGACTGATCAGCAATTGGCCAGAGTGCCTCCCTTGTAGGCATGGTATTCTGACAGTGATGGATTGTCTGTGTTTTTGATATAAGCCCAAAATGGTGTAAATTCAAGAAAGGGTCTCCTGAATTCTGAAGTGTCAATACACCTCCCACACCCAGGATAGTGACCGGCTAAGACTACCCACAAGGGGATACTGAGCCAGCATGTGACATGCGTTCCTGTGATATCACTCTTCCTCCTGCCTCTTAGAATCCAAGCTATGACTCTTAAACAAATACCAAAAAGAAATGGTCCTTTTTGTTGATACTATTTCATGTAGTAGTATGGGGATCGAGAGACAACACTACAACACTAGGGAATGCAACAGTATTACAACACTAGGTTTCCTCCTTTCTTTAACTAATCTAATAATAATTGATGACCAATGCAAGAAAATTATCTAGCTAAGAACAGCTCACTGTAAATTCCAAAAATGACCCTCAACTTATAAATCGCTAAAAACAAAGAAATCCAAAAGAGAATGTTGGACAAAGTATGTGGCCAGGGTTACCTCCTTAATGAAAACAATACGGAAAACTATCCACCTGCTGGTTACGACCTGAAAATGATGCACAACATTACCCTAAGATGCATGATAACTGAAACTATGGAGAGAGAGGTGCGAGGTGTGCACAGCAAGTACATAACATTCACTCTCACTAAAACAAGCAGTGAGTTTTTTTCCTTATGAATATTACCATTAGAATGGGGCATGTTACTTTTACTTTTCGAGATTATCAGCCTGCCGTAAAAATTACTCTTGTTGGAATGATGGCGTGCCTCGTCATGTTAAAGACTTGCAGCCAGTTGTAGTTTGGTGTGGGTTAAACCGTCATCAGATGATGAAAGTGACTAATCTGAAGATGGAAAAAATTATCTAGCTAAGAACAGCGAGTGGTGTATTTAAAGTCAGATCCACTGAGTTCTACCTCAAACATCAGTACTCTACCTACGGACGTCAACGTGGCCAGCTGTCCAGAGGCGGATGGTAGCTCAACGGATGAGAGTTCATCCGAGGATGAGGACCCTGTCATCCTGCTCAGGAGTGCCCGGCAGAAGAGGCCTGCCCCGAGTTGCACAGTGTGCGATCATGAGGGTGAGACACAGGATGAATCTGGAAATCTGCCACCTCGGAGCAAAAGAGTTCGCGCATGTGTGGTTATCCCAATATGTCAAGTGTGCAAGATGTATATATGCAGATGCAGTCACTAGACAGACGCGACCATCTCTTGAACTGAGAAGCTTTGTGATCTTAAGATCAGGGGGGCGTGTAATGAGTTGGTCAGTCAACTTGAAACCCCCAAAGTGAGTGGAGGTGGGCAGGCGCGGGAACTGTGATTGGTAGCTGGCTTGTTGGTGCTTTGCATAGGTGAGTTACCAAGCTCTATGTAAAGGGCTGGAATGAGAGGGAGGGCAGTTTTCAGTCTCAGAAGTGGAGACTGTGTCCGTCGCTACGACAGCAGGAGAGAAAGAGACGAAGTCATTTATTTTTTTGTGACACATTCCAACACACCCACCTATAATAAGTAGGAGTAGTAGGGGTCGCTCAGTTGGTTGGTCAGTCAGTCGATGTCAGCAACCACAACTAGATTTACTCTGCGTTATACATATTATATCAAGTTCCTAACGTTTTCTTAATTCCCAAAATACAAGACTCCCTAACCTCTAATACAGCTGCAGTACCAGATGAGATTCACTACTAATGCCTGAAAAAGTTACCTGAAACATCACTTTAGTACAGACTTCAAACCTACAAATATCTGTAGTACAACAGCATAAAATCTTAGGTGTTATTTTTGACTCTAAACTAATATTTATACCACACATCAAGGCACTGTGAATCAAATGCAACAAGTTAATTCAACTGCTGAGAGCAGTGACCCATACTAAGTGCAGAGCAGACAAAATAACATTGCTAAGCCTATATTGGATATATATATATCTACACAAAAGTAGACTAAGATTGTTTCATTTATGGATCAGCCAAGTAATCTTACTTAAAAGCATTTGAAATTATCCATTATCAATGACTAAAATTTGCACTGGGGGCATTCAGTACCTCCTCAGTAGAGAGCTTCTATGCAGAAAGCTGACACTGTGAAGAGAAAAACTGGTTCTGCAATATTACACAAAACTGTCTTCATGGCTGTCAAAGCCAACTCGGAATTGTATTTAAAATGCAATATAAATCCTTTTTTTTTTTTTTTTTTTCTTTTTTGAAAGAGTCATTAAACCCAATAACCTTCACAACAAAGAATTAAATAAAGATACAAACATTAATGTCGAACAGATACATGAATCAATCCTTTATTAAAAAAAAAAAAAAAAAAGAAATTAACCAGGTTCTCAAAGACAAAAACTAACTTTGTAACACTTCAAGTAGACTATTTACATTATTCGGACTATTGTCCTCATCTTTGTTGCCATATTTATCACAATGTTTTGACCATTGTACTCTCTGTCCTTCTTCAGGTGGTTGGAATGTCAAACTGAACCCTTTATTTCACTTGCTGGGGTAGACTGTCCTAGTTCCACATGCCATGTCTAATAAATGTCAGTTATCAGTTATCTCCTGTTAATTCACCTCTCCAAGTTCTTCACTGCACTATTGTCCTCATCTTTGTTGCCATATTTATCACATCGTTTAAGTTTTTTGGGTATGAAAGGGGTAGATAAAGGATCAAAAAAAGCCCTACAGATCAGTGCACCAGACATTAAAATGACCAGTACAGACTTAAAAGAAACAAAATGCAAATCTATCAAAAACAAATGGCAAGAATCCCGGAATAAGTGCACACAAAACAAACTCCCAAAAATCCAACCCTCCATTGGAAAATGACCTTTAGGATCTAGACAGATAAAACAAGAAGAGGTAGTTCTAGCCAGACTTTACATTGGCTATGTTCACCTGACCCATTCTTTTTTCTTTTAAAAATGAAGAACCTCCAATATGTACAGCATACCAAGAACCATCAATACCACCAAAGGACATGGGTGGTCCTAGATAGACTTCACATACCAAGAACCATCAATACCATCAATGACATACTTATAGACTGTACTGACTTTAACCACATATGGTCAAAATTCCATAAAAAAAGCAAAAAGTCTGAGGAAGTTTTTCAGACAAACCAATAACATCCTTAACTTTATATAACAGGTGAGGCTTTACACAAAGATGTAATCTCTCACATCAACACTCCACCCACCCACAAAATTCTTTAGAACCTCTCTAACAAAAAACTGTAATTTAAAGAATTTAGCTACAAACTTTCTTACAAATCATAAGTATGCTATGTATAAGCGGAAACGGCTCAGCTCCTAGAACAAAACTCACCCATACATGTTTTGCATGCAGAATATGGAGAAAATATGGCTGATCCAAAAGATACTATATAAGAATGGCTCAGTCTCTGAGTTCAGTGATTTTTGTGAGAGGAATTTGTGGCAAATTTCCAAGCCTTTGCCACTCAATAAAACAAGAATGAGCAAGAGAACATCACACAGGTTGCAGATGCTGATGAGTCGAGTGGTTGTATTTTGTGTGTGAAATATATTTTTTTTTTTACTATATACTAAATAAAGCATTAGCTACTAAGATGAACTGCAGAAGTTGATATGCCTTTTAAACAAGAAGAAAGCAACAAAATGTTTAAGCAATTAGGCAGATCGCACACTAATTTTCACCCAACATAAGGTGCAAGCTTACAGCCATATCACATTAAAACATTCATTCTTATTCAATCACTGAAGTTGAGCAGCGTTGAGCCTGGTCAGTACTTGGATGGGTGATCGCAAGGGAATATCATGTGTTGTAAGCTATGTGATTAGCCTGGCAAGCCAGCAATGGATGAATATGGCTACTTGTTTGAGATTTCTCCGACTGCAATACCTGTTCGTGCTAATTCAAGTAGTTTCTTGCCAGGTGATTCTGCCAATCATGCCTGGAACATGTAATTTTTTCCCCAAGCGATCCTCTGTGCAACATGATTCTCCATCTTTCTACACTGAGTGCATGGCAACTGCTTCATCTTCCAAGGTTTCATTCTTCATGATCACCTGGCCCAAAGTGGTATTTGGTCTATCACAATTGTTTCTATGCAGGGAAAATGTGCATAGGAACTGATTGACATGAGAACACAATATCACTCTCTGGAATGCTGTAAAATACCTGGGAGAGGGTTGCACAACTCTGCCGCATATGCATCTATCATCTCGCCTTCACATAAAGAACTCTTGCAAATACTTTGAGTCATGAATGCATTATCTATTCCATATCAGTCAACACTTGTATGTTGGTATACATGTTAAATAATAGTTTAGCAGACTTAATTTTTTAGAGAATTGTATTTCTACTCTGACTTCCTCATTTTTGACCTTTGAGGTCAGATACAGGAAAATGAAGGAAGTCTATTCTAGTATGGGAATGAGAGATATAGAAAGGGATTTCAGGGAGTCAGTTCTTACATGTCTAACACTATAGACTTGTGAAATTCGTGTCTGGAACTTGCTGCCTAGTGGGAGTGAGACAGCGACACCACTGGCTCGTTAAAAATGTACACATCAGCTGGTTGAATAAGATAGATAAGTTTTAAAATTCCTTTGTAGAAGTTCTCTTTTATCTCCAAACTAAAATCAACTGGTGATCAGTGTCCGAGTAAAAAGGCAACATTATTATTATCGAATCAGGCCCCATCAACAAGAGAACCCCCAGAACAAAGAGGCTACACAACTTACAGCAAACGCACCGCCAGTTAGTTGTAACAGAAAATCTTTTCACCTCACAGTGATTGCACACCAGTTCAGCTTTCTCAGTCCAATCTGATGGTCCTATAGTCAAACCATTAAATTCTAGGATAAGTTTGATGTTGAAAGCTTTCTTTTCAATTTGATAGCCACAATAGCTTGTACTAAAAATGGAACTAACATCCAAATACAGTGTGACCCGGATATAAGAGAAACCCGGACATAAGAGAGATTTTCCCTGGTCCCAAATTAGAGCCTGTGTTAATATATATAAAATAGACCAAACCCGGATATAAGAGAAACTCGGATATAAGAGACTTCGTCTCCAGTCTCGACAACTCTCTTATATCCGGGTTACACTGTATTCGCGAATTCTACCAATTCTACTAATATTGAAATACAGTGTAACCCGGATATAAGAGAAACCCGGATATAAGAGATTTTCTCTGGTCCCAAATTAGAGCCTGTGTTAATGTATATAAAATAGACCAAACCCAGATATAAGAGACTTCTTCTCCGGTCCCGACAACTCTCTTATATCCGGGTTACACTGTAGTTACAAATTAGTGTTCTTCACCTCGTCACTTGTTCATTACCACTGACTTTATATGCATTCATAGGCAGGTACGCTAATCTGTAGGCAACACATCCAGGCTATTCTAACATCTGTTATAACTGATGAAATGTGTCTGCCCTGATTTTTCTTTACATCACATAGCCAATGGCATTGACAGGTACATGCCCTTAAACTTTTTTTAAAGTACCTGATTTCTTCTGCAAGTAAATTTGCTTTTCAATCCCCAAGCCAAATATCTATTAATATTTTTCGAAATCATCATATTTATGTATAAATGTACATGCTGAACTCAAATTAACAAGTACAATTATGATAAAATGTACCATTTTGGAGTTATCGACCAGAAAAAATTGGATTTAATTGCAGTCATTTGCCCACCATTACTGGCTTTGTATAATTAGATTCACTGCAGTTCACTTTCCTTGAGCAGGCATAAATTGTGGCCTATCTACTGCATTTACTGTTGTAACAACTGGTAAATTACTACACACTTAAGTTATGTCAAAAAGCAATAACAAGTTTGTTTTTTTTTCTTCAGTTGTCATTTTTTTTTTATAGTAAAGATTTCTTTTTAAATTAAAAGAAACAAACAAATTAAACAAAGCTTTTCTTTTAAATTAAAAATAAAACGAATAATAATTAATGTGGAAACATTGCATGAAGTTTGAAAAGAGCATGATTATTTACAAAATAAAACAAAATGCTCCTTCCTAGCATTTTTTTATTTTGTAAATAATCATGCTCTTTACAAAGTTCGAGCATTAATTATTATTTCGTTTCTAGCATTATTTTTATTTTGTAATTTTTATTTTGTAAATAATCATGCTCTTTACAAAGTTCACATGCAAGCTTTATAAAGAGCATTTTTTAGTTCATTAAAATTCTTTTAGCTGATCTTTCCTAAATGACTTAACTGATCATATTCTATAGTCTCTTCATTCCCTGCAAAAGGGCAACACTATTTTTGCAAAATAAAAAAGCTTTATTTTATTATTTAATTTATTTGTTTTGTTTTTTTAATTTCAAAAAAGCTTTACTATAAAAAGAAAACGACAGTTGAAGAAAAAACAAAAAAACTTGTCATTGCTTTTCAACACAACTTAAGTGAGTAGTAATTTACCGGTTGTTACGGCAGTAAATAGGCCAAAATTTATGCTTGTGCGAGGAAAGTGACCCGCAGTGAATCTAATTACACAAAGCCAGTAATGGTGGGCGAATGACTGATTAAATCTGATTTTTTTTTTTTTCTGGTTGATAACTTCAAAACAGTAGGTTTTACTTTTATCATAATTGTAATTGTTAATTTGAGTTCAATATGTACATTTATACGGAAATATGATGATTTTGAAAAATATTAATTGATATTTAGGCTTAGCTTTAGGGATTGAAAAGCAAATTTACTCTTCTGCACACCATTTTCCTCTCAGGTTATTAAACCAACATGCCAGTTTTCATGTTTCTCTAGCTACACAAAATTGGTCAGGACAAAGCTTTGAAGAATGCTCGCTCATCTTGTATAAGTTGATTCCAATCATAGTTCGTTCATATTTTTAGCTGATCTTTACTGAATGACTTAAATAACTCTTCAAATTCTAAAGTTTCTTCATTTCTTGCAAAAGGGCAAAAATACTTCCAAAATGTGAAAGTCCTTAAAAGTTCACTTGTATATATATTCTCTTCAACTGTACTCATTCATAACAGCAAATGTCATTTGTCCAAAAACTGGCTTCACTGAAAGCATGAAATTAAATCTTCAATTTGTCAAATGATTCACTTCAATACAAATATAGAAAATTAGAGGGAGATAACTGTTATAAAATATCTTTCTTTAAATTATGTATTGTTTTAAAAATTACACTTGTTAATTTGATTGTTGCTTATTTGGGATAATGAATGGTTGACAATGAATTGAATGGTCTAAGAGGATTATTTGATCTTGAAATCAATTAAAGTCAGGAAATTGGGGGAAGGGGGGGATGAAAATAAAATATAAATCAAAACACTATTAAAATAGAATAATATGAATTAATACAGAAGATGTTTTTTAAATACTTTATTTATGCATATTTTTGATTGAACAGATATTTAAATGTGTTTTTTTTTTTTATTGTGGGGATAGGTTTCTTTTATCGTTTTTTTTTTTGGGGGGTTGTTTTTGTTTTGGGGGTTATGTGCTTTTATAGTGGGTCAGCCAATTTGTATTGGTTATAAATAGAAATAAAAACTGACCCTCTACAATTTTTACAATATCAAATGTAACAAAGACAACAACAAAAGAAATAATCAAGTAGAAGAAAATGTGAATTTGTTCAACAATAAATATTTTTTATAAACACAACAAAATACATAATATATAGTGCAAAGGACGAAGTGTGTGTGAATATTCTGTATGTGCGTGCGTGTGTGAATATTCTGTATGTGCATGCGTGTGTGTGTATTGTGCTTAGCGTGTTTCCACGCTATCCCTTGTTAGCGCCTACATTTCGAGGTTGATAGCTGAAATCCTGAAGTAAAAAGAGATAAAGGTAAAGAGTCAGCGGCTATTTATAGCCAGGGAAGAGAGACCCCTGGTGAAAGGGTTAATGGACTGAAGGAGGAATTAACTCTGACACTTTCTTTTTTTTTTTTTTTTTTTTTTGTTTTGTTTTTGGAGTTTTTTTTTTGTTCTTGGGTTTTTTTTTTTTTTGGTTTTTTTTTTTTTAAGAAAAAATAATATTGCTAAAATAATATTTTATTAAATGAATGAAAACTTCGATGATTAAATTTTGAGAGAAAAAGTTATTCATTATCATAAATAAACAATTTTGAAATGATACATAATTTTAAAAACATAAAAAAATTAAAATGCTCTGTTAATTTTCTAACTTTAAACTTTTCAGTGAAATCTACGATTTGAGGAAGTGAAGATTCAATTTTAATGGTTTCGGTAAAGCCAGTTTTCTGGCAAATGACATTTGCGGTTATAATTGTCAACCATTCTTCAATAATTATCTCCATAATTATATGAAGGAAGGGAAAAACACTGTCAGATTTTATTATGCAAACCATTTCTTTTTTTCTTTTTCTCTTTTTCATATTGAAATTGGTATTAGCCAATTATTTTTAAGATATATTTGTATGACAAATATATCTTGGGAGTTTTGGGGCACCTCGAGGTGGTGCAAGCTTGTCTCACTAGAACAATTATGACTGAATAGTGAGTTCAATCCTCACTGGGTACCCCTTACTTTTGGCCTTGTGCCACATCTAAACTATGCTTGGAAAATCACTATATCTTGGGAGTTTCAGCTTACAATATTTAATTCTTGTTAAAATATGTATGTAGCAAAATCAGTGTCAGCCAATATCTTAAATGGAAACCTTTTGAGCTGTCACAAAAGGTTTTTTGAACATTTGTCCAGATGATTATCAATTAAATGAAGTGGGCCCTCATAAGGCACATGGCAAAGAATACATATTCTATTTATACGAATCTATCCTAAAAATGTTGTCGGCA